ACATATCTTAAAAGTGGTGCAAGATTTCCTCCATCCACAGTACTACTACTACTACTAGTACTACTACTACTACTACTACTACTACTACTACTACTACTACTACTACTACTACTACTACTACTACTACTACTACTAACTACTACTACTACTACTACTACTACTACTACTACTACTACTACTACTACTACTACTACTACTACTCCTGCTGCTGCTACTACTACGACGACGACGATTACTACCACTACCACTACCACTACCACTAGCACTAGCACTAGCACTAGCACTAGCACTAGCACTAGCACTAGCACTAGCACTACCACCACCACCACCACCACCACCACCACTCCTACTACTACTACTACTACTACTACTACTACTACTACTACTACTACTACAAGTACTTGTACGAGTACTAGTACGAGTACTAATAGTGGAACAAGTCTTCATACTAGAACCACCAGCACCACCACCACGACCACGAGCAAGACCACTACCACCCTACTGACACTAGCACTAGCACTAGCACTACCACCACCACCACCACCACCACCACCACTACCACCACAACCGCTACCGCAACTGCCACTAATACCACTACTACCACTACTACCAACACGACCGCCACGACTACAACACCTCGATCTGGTACTCCTGCTTCTGCTTCTGCTTCTGCGACTGAAACTGCGACTGCAACTGCTGCTGCTGCTGCTACTACTACTACTACTACTCCTGCTACTGCTACTGCTACTACTACTACTACTGCTGCTACTCCTGCTACTACTACTACTACTACTACTACTACTACTACACCCGCTACCGCTACCGCTACCACTACCACTACCGCTACCGCTACCACTACCACTACCACTACCACTACGACTACCACTACAACTACTACTACTACTACTACTACTACTACTACTACTACTACTACTACTACTACTACTACTACTATACTACTACTACTACTACTACTACTACTACTACTACTACTACTACTACTACTACTACTACTACTACTACTACTACTACACCTACTACTGCTACTACTACTACTACTACTACTACTACTCCTGCTGCTGCTGTTGCTGCTGTTGCTGCTGCTGCTGCCAGCCAAAGCAGCAGCAGTAGCAAAAGAAATGCGAAGCAGACATAGCTGTAAGGGTCGAGATATTGCACCAACTACAGCTGCTGTTATTGTCGTCTGAAGCCACAAACCAAAACTGCCAAGACAAATGTCACCATAGCGGAGTGCAACCGCATGATGGGACTTTCAGAAGATGAGGGCCGTGATACAATTCCACAATGTCCATAGGATCCCTCAGTATTATTTAGGAAACAGCAGACTGGCCTTGGGAGAAAAGTCCAACGAAGGACTCCCCGACCAACGCCATGTCAAACCAATTCCATGCCCTCGGGCCAGCAAAACCAAGCTGGACGTGAATTCTCTCTGGAACAATCTGAACACTGTCTGGCCAATTCAAAAGCAAGCAAGATCAACACGACCAGTGCGATTAGGCAGCCACTTCGCGCACGCTAACAGAGCACAGTGGCCTGATTGTAACACTGGAGGTCTACGGTCCCGACCGTTGCAGCACCCCTGTGAGCTTCGAGTAGAACACACTCCAAGCCCCCAAAGCGAAGTCGCAAGCCGGCAAGGATGACGAGCTCACCCGCAACACGCCTACATTTACAGGCTCGCCGCGGCCCAAAAGTCGCCAAAAACACACGAGATCCGCAAGTCGGTCTCAGGTTCACGCCGCTCCTCTCCGACAAAGAACTGCCTGGGTCGACAGCTAGATAGTCGAGCTGGGAAGGCCAAGATTCACTGGTCTTTCCTTGCCAAGGCATCGTTATCCTGTCAGCTTGTTCGTATCAATACTCAACAGGATAGTTCTGCTGCTTCCTGATGACGTTTGAGTAGGTGACGATGAAGGCGGTGAAAATGGCAATGCAGATGATGGTGGTGTGAGTGAGGATGATGGCCGTAATGATGACGATGTCGATGATCATGATGACAATGCTGAAAACAATAAAACTGAGGATGATATGAGCAATCACTGTGAACATGAAGCTGCTCGCACTCGTGATAACGACAACGAATCAAATGACAGCGAGGAGGGAGAAGATGCTGCTGACCACGATGATTTTGAACAGGCCCGGCATCACAACAATCATCATCAGGATCAACTCAAGAAGAAGAGGGGAGGTGGCGGTGGCGGTGGTAGTGGTAGTGACAACGCCTATCATAAGCATCCTCTTCGTCATCGATGCTGTCTTTCACTGCCGAGACGGAAAACATATCTCCTGTATTACCGCCTGTGCTGCCGCTATGCTAGCCAAATTTCACAAGCCTTGGCTTCCGTTCCGTCAACAAAGGCCGACAAAGCCGCACTCAACAGCGAAATCCTTGCCAGGGTTTCGCAACGTGCACAGCCCGCTGAAGGACCTAGGGGTTTGGGGCTCGGGGCTCTCGGTCGAAGCGGTTTGATTTGCTTGATGTAGGTTTAGGGCTCTGGGATCTTGGAGGTTTGGCGGAATTCGGGATGTTGGGCTTCTTGCCCTGTTGCCCCTCTGAGCACCAGGCACACGGTCAGCAATCATCTTTATGAAGAGCTCCACCCCAAACCAGGCTGGCCACAGGATTGAGTGTAGCAGTTCTGAAGCGATATTCTTGCATGGCTAAGCTTGCATAAGAGCTTGCTCGGCGGCTTGATCGATGCATGCCGGTTACTCACCAACAATGTCCCGCCTGTGAAAGCGATGTCGAACTCGACCTGAAACCACCAAAACTTTCTGCTTAGAGCTGTGGTCTTCTCTACTGGGCGAACATGAACATCCCAAAAGCAGCAGCAATGCCATCATCATCGAAGCTATCATCTTCATTGTCACCATGGGACAATGGAGACGACGAGGACGGCGACGACGAAGAGACGATAAACAAGAACTGCAAAGAACTGAGCGGCTGGTGTTCCTGCTCCTGCTGCAAATCACTGCTGCTTCTGCTCATGTCGCTCTTACAGTTTCTGTCGGCGAGCAACAAGGGCTAAGGGCTTCGACTTGCCAAGGGTGCTACACTGCTACATGGTGCTAGCAGCACAAGAAACTGGAAGCTCTATCAGGAGCGGTCCATTCACTGACACCTCCGCTACGGTCACGGAAGCCCTTCTATGCTCTCAGACATGCCGTCATGCGAGAATCTGAAGCACATCTTGGCCGGGTCGCTCCCGGCTGTTGCACCGGCTCGTTCCTAAGGCGTCTCCAGCTGTTGCTGACCTCGGCTTTGCAACATCGGCCACGGTGGTGTTTGTGCTTTTCTTCGGGCTCCATTCCTGCTGCGCAAGGCTAGTTGATATTTAGGGGCATGGGGTTTCGGGGTTTAGCATTTCGGGTATGTGATTCCCTGCAAGCTTTGCACTACACGATCCCTTGGAAACACCAGAGACGGCAGACCTTTGCACCCGAGTCTGAGGCATTCGTGTTGGCCGCCCAGCCTGGGATAAGCCAATACCCTGCCCGGAAGTCCTGAGACCCAAAACCTAAGCCTGCTGAACACTCACGATAGACTGGCAGTCTCTTCACGTTTCCAACTTTGTACAAAGATCTGATATCGCCTTGCAGTTGGAAACGACACCCTCCGCCGGGCAGGAACAGACGGCTTCGGCAGGTGTTGCTGATCCGGTGCGTGGAGGCTACGGGTTCATGTACTCGTGAAAAGAGTAGAAGGGTTTTGTGGCAAACTGCACCTTCAAGTTAGCCACCTTGATAGTTCGCAACCAGCCTGCAACCAGCTTGCGCCCAACACCCCGGGATCGCCGCGCCATTGGGAGTCAGGAAACAAGACACCATTGGATACAAGACTCCCAAAAACGAACCCTACTTGTCAGACGTCCCCATGTCCCTCCGCAGAGGAAGCAACATAAGGAGGCGGCCTAGGTAGAGAGTGTTGGCTGCGATGGCCAGCATGGTAATCCTTAGAGCAAGGGATGGGCCGCTTTTTGGTGAATGGCTTGCCAAGCAACAACCTACTTGGTTACCCTGCTTTGGAAAGAGGATAGCGTGTTGGCAGGGCCGAGCCTTTTTGGTGCACCCTTAACATTAAGCAACAAACGCCCGAAAGCTTGAAAACCCCAAAGCCGAACCCCAAGCCACAAAGACACAAAACCGTGAAACCCCGCATCTCAAGGGCTCAAAACCATGAAAGCCCAAAACTCTGGAAACCCAAATCCCTGAAAGCCATTGAAGCCCTGACAGCTCTGAGAACCCCTGCGACTTAAAGAAGAGGCCGTTGGTGAATCTCTTCATCAGGCGCTCCTGCAGAAATTAAGGATTGTGGGGTTTAGGGATGGTTTGAATCCACTTTGGCCGAGAATGGCCGAAGACCGGAAAATCAACAACAGCAAAATAGACGAGGTCGGACGAGTACCGAGCACGCAGCATGGAGGGTCGATAACGACTTGCTTGTGCACAGCACGTATGCTGGTTGAAGCTGTGTGGAAGTCCTGACTAACATGCTGGTTGGAAGCTGTCTGCACCGTGGCTCACGCTTTCTTTACAACGCTTTTGGATGTCGGACGTCTGGGCATGGTCCGCCTGTGTGCGTGCCGCTGGAGTGCAGTGTGATGTGGAGATGCTGCAGATAGCACTCAGTCACAGTGCAGCCACAAGCCCCAGGTTATGCAGACGCACTTTTTCCCCGAATCCGACGAGGTCCGAGAAGTGGCAGATCAGATCAAAACTCCGAGGGACCCGAGGCAGGCATAGCTCAGACAGGTCCGAAGACCGGTCGGAAATACGCCACCCCTCCTCGGCTTGATCAAACGAGGGGTTTCACAACCCCCCAATCCGATCCGAGAGAAAACATCCGACCCGGGAGCCCGAGAGTGAAAAGGTCCCGCCGAAACGTACAGTCACAAAGTGCCGGTAATCGGCACCTGAGGCAACCGTACCTGGCACTCGTGTCCTGTTTCAAATCAGGGCTAAGAGAGGGAGCCCGGGAACTATTGATCTGATTTAAAAGAAAGGAGCTTTTCCAGGATCATCCAGCTCGGAGTCCAGGACAAGGAGACGTCCCGCCTCTTTTCGGGGGAGAATCCTTCGAAATCAAAGTGTGTGAGCTGATCTGCCCACGTGTTTGAGCTCCGCTTGACATGGGTGGCCTGAGCAAAGACACCCTTGTGGAACTCCTGTGCTGAGAGCTCCATCAAAAGCGCCGAGCAAGGCCACTTCTTCGAAGATCTCTTGCTGGCAGAAAAGGCGTTGCCCTCATTATCCGTAGTGAGAGGGAGGTGCGCATCGACCATGCTGGGTCCCAGGGACTCCGCAGCCAGAAGGAAAAGAATGAGGGTACCCAGGAGTTCAAGGGCCCCAATCCGGCGCTTAGCAGAAGTGTGCGCCAGGAGGGGCTGCGCCCATGGCGTGGCAAGGACGTCCATGGAGAACCACAGGACCTCCGCTTTAGCCGGGTTCAGAGAGGGCGAGAACCAGCCACCAATGGCGACCCAGCCATCGTCCTCGCCGGCATCACTACTCCCATAGCATGGAGTGTTGCGCTGTAGACGGAGAGGAACGCAGGGACCAGTATCCAGGATTGAGAGGAGCAGAGTAGCCAGGAAACGTACAAGGTCTCCCGGCTTGCACTTGCGTTCCAGTTTTTGTTCCCATGCATAGAGCGGCTGGAGGTGAGAACTCACCTGCGGGTAGGCCTTAGCCACCCACTGCAATTTGCCCAGTAAGGAGGTGATTTCCTTCCTGGTGTGCAGTTCCCCTGATTCCAATCTCGCCAGGGCCGGGCGGAGGACAGTCATTTTCTCCTCCGGGAGCCACACGGAGCCTTCGGAGATGTCCACCATGTAGCCCAACCAACGGTTGACCTTGCCCAGGGCATTCTTATGCCAAGAGATAGGACAACCCAGCAGCGTAAGGAAGAGCATGAGGGTAGCAGCCCCCAGTTCGCCAAGGCTCTCCTTCATAACAGCCATGAAATCATCAACAAAGACAAGGACCCAAAGGAACACCTCTGAAATCTGGTAAGAGAGGCGGGTGAGGATGGCTGCCAATCGGCCCCAATAGAGTTGAGCCGAGGCCACACCATAGGTGCCGACCTTGTTGACCCAGAACTTCTTCTTGATCTTGGCCACCATGTACCTCCAGTGCTTTTTGAGAACCTTGATCCTCCGGTGAGCCTTGCTCACATCCGACTTGAAAAGGGTCAGGTCCTTCGACGCCAGATGGAGCCAAGCAAAGAGCAAGTCGTAGAGTGTCGGGGCCGTGGTCTTCTTGTCAGTGTTCGCCCTGATGTTGTCGTTGACACCAATGACCGAGGCGTCGAAGATGGTCCTGACCTTGTCCAGTTCCTGAATGCCCGCCATGGCCCCGACACACAACTCTGCCACGTCGCAGGCGCAGAGGTCCGCCGCCTCCTGTTCCGACAAGGGCCCAGCCACCATCTCCAGGAGCTTCTCTTCCAAGAAAGTTTGCTCGGTGTGCTCGAAGACATCTGCACTGGGGTAGTTGTCAGCAGTAGTGGGAGCCGGGGGCTCCAGATCCCTCGGTGCACTGGTCTGGCCAGGGGCAGCCCCGCGCCTGGGTCCTGAGCGATTCCCGAAAGGACGTCATAGGAGAGATTTTAGGGGAATCGGCACCTGTGGCAACCGTCCCGGTGGTGGGTCTCCTCCGTCCCCCGCCCCAGCCAAACCACCTTGCATTTGCCCCTGTCTTCAGGTTTGAGTCTCCCAGGGGATGGCTTTCCACCACCATCCCTGAAGGGGCCAGAATAACGGTGTCCCAGCCGGACAATCAGGGTATTGGCCTTTAAAGGAGCCAACGCCGAAGCAACGGTGCGGTCTCCATCCGTGTCCCGGGATGTGGAGAAGAAAGATAACAGGGCCATTAATTCCAGGTTGAATTGCCAACCCCAACGGCCCAACGGGCCAGGTCTGAACTGGACCACCAGACGGGGTGGTTCGGATGCCTGCGCCTGAGGCCATCCCAGTCCAGGACAAGATTGCTGAGGACCGCCGTGGGTTTCTTGGCTCCGTGCCCCAGCATACACTGGTCAAAGCAGTGTATCTTCATCCGCGACAGTCCCGCGAAATCTCTACACTGGGCAGTTTCCCACCACGAAGAACAACTCTGCTGAGCCTCCGAGGTACCTTGGTTGGCGGGATCCTCCGGGTGTTCCAGGAGGAATGCTGGGGGCCGAGGGCCCGACGCCATTGCAAGGTGGTAGAGGAGAAGTGAGTCATTATCAACGTCCGTGAGCAACGTCTCCGGAAGGTCTTCGAGGCCCCAAGCTGCTGCCCCTGACTGGGCCAGGAAAGCCAACTCTAGGTACGTGTCGAAGAATTGACCACGTCCTGCAGTTAGGCCCTCCAACGATAGCCATGAGGTTGCCAGAGAGAGCCAGAGCACAGAGGTCAGAGAAGGTTTCCTCAGCAAGGACGTCCTGTGCAATGCCTCCCCTGCAAATGTCTAATTCCCGAACCGAGGCACCCAGGAAAGGGGCCACTCTTGTGATCGCTGCTTTGGTGCTCCAGGAGTCATCCTTCCCAGCGTAAAGAATCAGCACTGTGGGCTGATACGATTTTCCCTCCACTGGCCAGACAGACACTCCAGGAAGAAGCCTGTCCAAGAGCCTGTGAGGGAGGCCTCTGAAACCAGGCAGAGTTGGCAAAGCATGGGACCAACGATCTCGATTCCAACGGTCCCCTTCCAGTGAAGATTCGCCCAAAGCCCTCTTGTTCG